GGCGCGCATTTTGAACCAGAATTGTTCAGCTAGGGCAAGGCTGGAAAAGGCACGCTTACGCCAGCCTCCGACAGCCACGAAATATGCGTCCTAAAGTTGGTGCAATAAATAACATAGGCATCCCAGTCGGAAGGTTTGGACAAAATGCATGCAAAACAGACCGTGCCAATAATAAATACTTTCGAAAAGCTGCTGAACTATTTTCAGGCAAGCTAACAGCCGTCTATCAAAGTAAGATTCGTAAACTTGGTCATATACCAGGCACCGACACACTACTAATAAAGGCCTGCGCAGACGCTTGCTAGTCACAGCCGAAACAGTGGCAATCCATTTAGCAAAACACACTCTCCGCTGTCAAAAGACGCTGGTACAGGCAGTTTGCCTCCCTTGGCCGACTACACGAAGTAATCCCACGCTACCCGAAGCAGTTGTTACGCCTGGCTGACCTGAACACCCTTGACCCAGTTGCCCCTGTGTGCAAGAAAGCCGCGGCTGCTCCAAGGGCCAACTGAACAATCCCCTCCATTGCCAACGCCTTATAGGCCTCTGTACACAACACCCCTTCCGGGCAATGTTTCGCACCAATCAGACGTCACATGAAGTGACTTCGGTAGGGTTTGCCTGTGGGGTGGCCTGGGGAATGTGTGAATCGCGCCCTTCAGGCTCACGCGCACCTGATTTTAGGGTTGAGGAAGGGCGGGGCATGTCAGGGAACAAATCAGATCGCAACATTCCTGTAAAATAAAAAAGGTTACGGGGACAAGTTGGGTCGCGTACTCAAACCTTGGGAGAGGACACTGAAATGGGCTCTAATGTCATCGCTAACCCCCGTCCAACCAACGGCGAACGCGTGTATGCAGAGGGGAGTGAGCCCTAACCTCGGGAGAGGTCATTTTGGAATATTTTCTAGTGGAACCACCAACACCAACTAGAAAAAAGGTTAACGCAGTTCAAAAGTGGGAAGATTGTGGAAATCCCCCTACTTAAAATGGGTAAGTAAGCAGTTATTCCCGTTGTTAATGTAAGAGGCTAATTTCACTTAGTATACTGACTTAAGCAGTTATAATATGCGGTGACCTTCGGAGGACCACTCTGCAGTTCAATGTCATCATCAAATCCCTGCTGGACCGATGGATTGTGTGTAGAAAACTGGAAGATTATGGGCAATTCAATCTACTTAAAACACTTGAGTTGGTGGCTATAATACATAAGGGCCTTTGAAAGACCCCTCTTGGAAACCCTACCGCGGCTTAAAGTCAGATAAAAGCAGCGATCGTCCCCTTTCTCACCGCACACGCTCTCCCAGGCCTGGCTCCGCCCTGCGCACGCGTGGCGTTATTGGACATGCATCGTTCCTTTGTCCAGAATCAGGCTATATTTGGCCGACTCCCTTGTTCCCGACTACATGTATACATTGTTAAGGTTTGTACCTCGATTGTTCTTCACTATTTGTTTAGCAGTACCGTACTACATTATCATTGGGCTTGACGTACGCGTTACGATTGGATACAGAGTCGCCAAAGGGTGCAAGCTATTCGAAACAGTCAGTAAGGCATAACTGCGGAAAGCGGACGAAGTAGCACAGTAGGCTAAACCAAAGAGAGAGAGAGAGAGAGAACACACTGTAGCGTACCTCCTTCAACAGTGGCAACATGCCGGCGTGGTGAATGGCTAGACCGCGCATAACCAGCCGACGCACAAGAAGGACTTGAGCAAGCTGCCGATCCGGGCCTTTGAGGAAGCCACCGATGGCAGCGCGAAGAAACACCAACACCTCGTTCTTTTCGGCTAAAAGGCACAACACAAAAACAGGCTGTTACTGCACTGAGGCCACACACACATACACGCGAAGGAGAACACTACAAAGGTAAGAGCACCGAAAAATAGAAACTTGAAATTAGGTAGGGTAGCTGCAAACACGCGCAGAAAAAAAACCCAGCTTGGCGAGTGGCTGCTCTCATTAGCTAGT